CTGAGTGTTTGTGAGCTCAGTGTTTGATTTTAAGAAGTTTAAAGTTTAAGTTTATTGTTTAAGTTTATTGGATTGTTTAAGTTTATTGGATGTTTTCATATAATTGAAAATGTACACCTCTGAGGGTGTGTGTCAGTGTCTGTGTTCATGTACTGACACTCACTGGCAGCTGCAGGTGTCGGAGTTACTGCCTGCAAACAGTAAATCCACAGCCAATTTGGGGAAAAATGGTGAGAGCAGGATTGTCAGAGAGCCCTCCACCTGGGTGTCAGGGCTGCTGAAATTCATAGAATCACTGAGGTTGGAAAAGCCCTCCCAGCCCATGGATCCCCCCTGTGATCCATCCCCACCTTGTCCCCAGCCCAGAGCACTGAGTGCCACGGCCAGGCCTTCCTGGGACACCTGCAGGGCTGGGCACTCCAAACCTCCCTGGGCAGCCCCTGCCAAGGCCTGACCACCCTTTCCAGGCAGAAATTCCTCCTGGTGTCCAACCTGACCCTCCCCTGGCACAGCCTGAGGCCGTTCCCTCTCCTCCTGTCCCTTGTTCCCTGGGAGCAGAGCCCGACCCCCCCCGGCTCCCCCCTCCTGTCAGGGGGTTGCAGAGCCAGAAGGTCCCCCCTGAGCCTCCTTTTCTCCAGGCTGAGCCCCCCCGGCTCCCTCAGCTGCTCCTGCTGCTCCAGCCCCTTCCCAGCCCCGTTCCCTTCTCTTGCAGCTCTATGACCTGATGACCATGGCCTTCAAATACCAAGTGCTGCTGTGCCCTCGGCCCAGGGACATCCTGCTGGTCACGTTCAACCACCTGGATGCCATCAAGGATTTCATCTACGAGTCCCCTGCCATTCTGAACCAGGTGGATGAGACCTTCCGGCAGCTGATCGAAGTAAGAACCCTCAGAAAAAGGGTGGGACACACTGTGGTTTGGTTTCATGGTTTTTTACTTCTTTCAGGTTAATCTTAGAGACTAAATACTGCATTGTACATGTCTGTGAGTCAAGTGGTATTTTTCTGCTGGCCCAGTTTAAATCAATATATTGCTTATTCAGCCTGATTTAAGTCTCCACTGGCTTCAGCAGAAATATAATCAGACTTTTAGTCACGGACATAATTACTGATAATGATGAGCAGCACCCTCACAGCATCTCTGCTTCCCCTGCAAGTGGATCAGAATATACTGTATATTCTGTGTATCAGAATATTCTGAGGCACTTGTTTCCCCCTTTCCCTGGGTGGGACATGAACACCTGCAAAGCCTTGTGTGGTGGTTTTCCTTTTCCAGACGTACAGCTGTCTCCCTGATGGTGAATTCCAGCTCATCAGGCAAACGCTCCTCATTTTCTTTCAGGACATGCACATCAGGGTAAGAGCCTGATGGCAGGGAGAATGACAGGGAGTTGGGGCTGGAATACAGAGGGATTTGGTTACAAACATTGCAGTTTTGGGTTTGTTACTTGTGCTTTTCAGTCATCCTGATGTGCTTGTAATCGCACTCAAATTTCACACATGGATCTACTACAATAATACTGAATAATTCTAATATGTTATGAAAAAAGGAATCTCTGCCAGTATGATTTGCTAGATGATAAATCTGCTTTTCCTTTTAGAAACTTGATATGAAACTCAGAGCCTGAGCTTGAAGCCTCAATATTCTCTAAATAAACTGATCACACTCAAGTGCATGAACAGGACATACTTTTTAATACAGTTTTTTTAATCTTAGATCAGTTCTCACCCTCTGAAACACAATCCCACACTGCTGGCTCGGTATCACAGTCTCTGCACACACATGCAGACCTCCCCCAGCCTGGGCAGGGAGGCTCAAGGGTCAGAGGGCTGGTTTTGCCCGGGGTGTGATGTCCCTTTGCAGGTCTCCATCTTCCTGAAGGACAAAGTGCAGAACTCCAACGGGCGCTTCGTGCTGCCCATCTCGGGGCCTGTCCCCTGGGGCACAGAGGTGCCAGGGCTCATCAGGTGAGTCGGTGCCTGCCTGGGGCTGCTCGGGGTCCCAGAGGCCTCAGGAGCCCCCTCCCAGTGCTGTTCCTGGCACAGGGAGAGCTGAACTCCAGTAAATACTATTTAAAGGGCATGACCTGGGGCTAAGTCACCCAGCAATGAAATGCTGAGCTGCTTCTGGAATTCTCTATCCCAGTAAATGGGCTATTAGTAATTTATCCTGTAAAAGGCAGATTTTACAGAATAGGGTTTTATTCCCCTTGTGTGGGAAGCAGAGGAAGTAGGTACTGCAAATCAGGAATAAAACTACTAAATGTTTCAATAATGCCTTGGTTTCAAGGATTTTCAATCACAAAGGAGTGGAAGTTAAAAGGACTGAGTTCACCACTGCTGGGAATTACGTTACTCCCCAAAGGGAAGGATCTTTTGAGCTTTATGGAGACAGAGTCCTCAAACTTGGAACAAATATGTAAGTCATTCTTGTCCTGTGTAGGAACCTGAACCGAATGTTGATGGATATGGATTGTTCAGAAGCTGTGTGGTTTTGCCTCTTTTGCCATTATGAGCCTGACTTGGTTACAAGGTGCTGCCCTGCACCAGGATACAAGTGGGCAGTGTGTATAAAGAGCTGTGGGAAAGAGCAAAACTTGATTTTATGAGTCCAATAGTAAAGAGTGCTCTCACCTGGTGCTGCATGTTACGTGAAATGTGATTTAATTTAACCACGTTCAGGAAATCCATGGAATTCTCCATGTTTGTGTTCCATCCAAAGGGAGATCACTGTTCCCTCTTACAGCTTTGTCCCTCTCACACCTCAGTGCCTCAATACTCCACCAGGCTGAGCTGTAACCTCTCATTGCAGCTTTTCACAGGCTTCAGGAAAATGTCCTAAAGCCCTGGATCCTGTGCTGCTCCCTCCAGTTCCCGTCCCTCACCCCAGTAACTTCTTCCCTGTGTGCTTTTCCCTCCAGGTACAGTGTGAGTCGGCCAGTGGAGACACACGTGGCGGGATCATCCAAAAACTTGGCATCCCGTGCAAAGGTCAGTGTTGTCATGGTCCTGTCACTGGTTGAACTGGCCAACTTCTTGGTCTCCAGGTATGGGGTAACTTCAAGGAAGCTCTTCAGTTGTTCTCAGAGCCTCATCCAGTCCTTCCCACTCCCTTTGGAGCCAGGGGAAGGGCAAATTTTCCCAAAGAATCCACAGGCTTATGCGAGGATGTGCTTGCTTCTCTTTTAATCTCCTCAGAAAACAAAGCTGGATTTACAGATTTCTCAGCTGTTCAGTTTAGCTGGAAAATTACCTTGTCCTGGGACTGTAAATTCCAGCAGCCATTTCCAGTATAAATCTGGTGGTTCCTGGTTATCTGCACAGCCTGTCCCAGGAACAACACACAAGTGTGTTTGTATCGCTCTGAAGGACGTTTATGGAATATCAGAAAACAAAACTCCTCGCAGGCCCCGTCTCCCTGGTAACTGCCCATTGCTGTTTCCTGCAGGAGAACACAGTGCCCAACCCTCTGGCCAAGGAGGAGCTGAACTTCCTGGCCCGGCTGCTGGGGGGTCTGGACATCCAGAAACCTGCTGGTGGCGAGACGGGATTTCGGCTGAATTTGTTCACCACCGACGAGGAGGAAGAGTATGTTCTTGGGCTGGGCTCTGGGTGCCACGTGGGGAGCCCTGGAGACCAAAGCTGGCCCTCCACAGCTTCAGGGACAGACCAGCAGGGTTTAGCCCTTTGTTGTTGTGCTCCAGGTGCCTCCTGTGCCTTGCTGGCAGTGCCACTGGCCGGGAGCTGTGCTTGGTCCTGTCTGCAGGGACAGAGGCATCTCGCCAGCCCTTCGAGCAGGATGTTCTTACCTGCTTTGAATCTCAACTACAGAGATATTCCCTCTCTTCTGCACTTAACAGAAAAATGTAGGACAGGGAAAAGCCTCCAAATTGGGGTCAATACGTTAATTTGACAAGTAGGATGAGGGTCATTGTCCAAACTTCATAGAATCCCAGGATAGTTTGGGCTGGGAGGGACCTTGAGGATCCTTTATTTCCACTCCTGCCATGGGCAGGGACACCTTCCACTGGACCAGGTGGCTGCAAGCCCTGTCCAATCAGGCCCTGTAGGCTTCCTCTGGGCATCCTGTGGGCCTACAGGAGCCTCATGAAACCTGATTTTTATCACTGCCTTGTACGTCTTCATGGGATTAACCCCCCTTTTCATGTTTTCCATCCAGACACGCTGCACAGACCCGACCAGAGGACTTGTCCTACAAGGTCATCAACATTGAAGCCACACAGGTACGTTTTGTGTTTCTCACCTCTGGTTCTCACCACTCCTTCCTTGCCAAGAGCTGAATTTCACCCAGAATAGTGACTTAAAAATACGTTTTTTCCCATTTCACTTGAGTAACGTTAAGTAAGGTACACTGAGTAACTAATGGCCGATTTTCTGCCAGGCCGGTGGAACTGGTGATTATTTACTAAGAGAACTGGAATCGTGTCAAACATCAGGGCAGGCTGGGTGGCCAGGGGGCCGTCCCGGTCCCGGCGGGGCTGAGCGCGGTGTGTCTCCCGCAGGAGCCGGGCCGGCGGGCGGAGCTGTCCCGCATCCTGGGCGAGCTGGAGGTGGCGGAGCCGCGCCCGGGCAGCGCCGAGAAGGGCGAGGACCTGCTGGCACTGATGGACGGGCTGTGACCGGGACACACGGGGACAGCTCCGGGACACACCGGGACACACGGGGACAGCTCCGGGAGCACCGGGCGGGGCGGGGCGATGTTGGCCCCGCCCCTTCCTGGCGCGGGGCGGGGCCGCGCGTGCGCAGGGGGGCGGGGCGTCGCGAGCGAGCGCGCGGGAAGGGGCGCGTGAGTGCGCGGGGGGGACGCGGGACCCCCCCGGTGTAACGGGATGGGGGGGGCACGGAGAGAATGGGGGTGACCGGGGAGGAGTGTGCGTGTGTGAGAGTGGGGGGGGGCGCGGAGGAGCCCAGTGTGCAAGGGGGGGGGCGGGCGGGGAGAATGGGGGTGGCTGGGGAGGGGGGCAGCGCGCGAGGAGAGGGGTGAGTGCAGGTGAGAGGGCAGAGGAGAGGGCGAGGGGTGGTACCTGTGCAGATGAACGTGAGAGGGGTAGTGTGTGTGCACGTGAGAGTTTGAGCGAGTGCAAGGGGTGTAGGAATGCAGGTGAGCGTGAAAGGGGTGGTACGTGTACAGGTATGGGTGTGACGGGTGGGTGTGGAGGCGCAGTGTGCCTTGTTCCCTTCCCTCAACCCTGTCCCAGCGCAGCCTTGTTCCCCCAGCCGTGTCCCCATCCCTCATTCCTGTCCGCAGCCCTGTCCCCCCAGCCGCCATGGAGGTGAGCCACTCGGTGAAGGAGCGCACCATCGCCGAGAACAGCCTGGTGATCCTGCTGCAGGGGCTGCGGGGCCGCGTCACCACGGTGGAGCTGCGTGACGAGAGCGCGGCCGCGGGGCTCGTCACCGGCGTGGACGCCTTCATGAACGTGCGCCTGGCCGAGGTGACCCTGACGGACCGGCGCGGCGCCGTGTCCCACCTGGACGAGCTCTTCGTCACCGGCAGGAACGTGCGCTACGTGCACATCCCCGACGACGTGGACATCAGGGCCACCATCGAGGAGCAGCTCCGGGCCATCCACAGGGTGCGCTTCTTCGGGGGCCGTGACAAGGGGCGCAGGGAGTTCTCTCAGGCCAAGGACAAGTGAGGTGAAAGGGCAAGGATGGACTCGGGATGAACCTGCCCCTTTGATGGACTGCCACACCAGACATCCCGCCCAAGGACATCCCCCCCAGGGACTCTGTGCTCTGCTGCTCCCAGGGCCGGTGCCTGTGGAGGAGCAGGGATGATTTTTGTAATGAATAAGCCCAAATAACTGTTTAAAAGGCTCCGTGGTCTCTCTCTGCTCGTGTCCCTCCTCTGATGGGCCAAAAGACCCTTTGGCCAGAGCTGCCGTCCCGCTGCTCCCCCCGGCTCGGCCTGTCCCTGCCCATGGGGGTTCCAGCGCAGGGTGCCCCAGCGTGGGGGGGTTCCCCATTCGGGGGGTCCCCATTCCAGGGGTCCCGGTTGGGGGGGGGGGAGCTATGTGGGCGTGGCCAGCGCGTCAGGCCCCGCCCCTCCGCCAATCAGCGCGCGTTCGAATCTCCCGCGTGCCCACCAGCACCCTGCGCCAATCAGCGACAGGCTCGTCCCGCCGCAGCCAATCAGCGATGGGCTCTTCGCGCCGCAGCCAATCGGCCTTCGCTGCTCCCCTCTCTCTCCTGAAGGCGCCTCAACCAATCAGAGCCCACCGCAAAGCTCCGGCCCGGCCCCAGCTCTCTGTCCAATCACACACCGCACTGTCGCTGCCTCGGCCCGGCTGCGGCCGGCAGGGGGCGGGCTGGGACGGGGAGGTGGCGTCACTTCCGGTGCCAGGCGGGCCCGGAGCGGAGCGAGGCCGGGCCGGGCCGGGCCCGGGGCCATGGGTGAGTGAGGGGAGTGGGAACAACGGGAACGGGCCATGGGGCAGTGAGGGGAGTGGGAACAACGGGAACGGGGCCATGGGGCAGTGAGGGGAGTGGGAACAACGGGAACGGGGCCATGGGGCAGTGAGGGGAGTGGGAACAACGGGAACGGGGCCATGGGGGAGTGAGGGGAATGCGAACGGGAATGGGAATGGGAACAACGGGAGTGGGGCCATGGGGGAGTGAAGGAGGGGAACGGGAACCTGCCCCGGGGGCCTGAACCTGCTCCCCGTGGGAGCTCCCCCGGGGGCTGAGCGATCTCCCCCACCCAGAGCCCGGTGCTGGTCCCTGCTCTCGCCGGTGCAGGCCCTGAGGGTGTTCAGGCTCTCCCTGGCGGGGGAGAGCCTGTGGGATGGCACCTTCCCCCTGACAGGAGGGTTGGGGCTCCCGGTGTCCCGCCCTGGCCTGGCTGTGGGGGGATGTGCTGCACTGGTGTTGGGGGTTCAGTGCTTTGGTGGTTTGCAGAGCCTTTGAGAGCCTTGAGGTGTGGGTTTCACACACCCTGCTGAGTGCAGGTGTGCTGGGGGCTCGCGCTGCATCCTTTGGTTGTTCCTCTGTGGTGTCCGTGCTGAGGGTTTGGTCACGGCATCGTGTCCCTTAAGAGCAGAGTTCAGCTGAGTTTGATCCTCAGGGTGTTACGGAATTGTCTCCTTAGAGCAGGCAGGGGAAGCCTTGTAGGCACCGAGCTGTGCTGTGATTCAGCACAGGAAGGACATGGAGCTGCTGGAGTGAGTGCAGAGGAGGCACCAAGGTGATCAGAGGGCTGGAGAAGCTCTGCTGAGAGGAAAGGCTGGGAGAGGTGAGACTGCTCAGCCTGGAGAAACTTTAGAGTGAACTAACTGTGGCCTTCCAGTGTCTGAATGAGCTGACAAGAAAGATGGAGAGAGACTATTTACAAGGGTCTGGAGTGACAGGACAAGGAGGCATGGCTTCCCACTGACAGAAAGTAGGTGTAGATTAGGTATCGGGAAGAAATTCCTCCCTGTGAGGGTGGCGAGGCCCTGGCACAGATTGCTCAGAGAAACTGTGGGTGCCACATCCCTGGAAGTGTCCAAGGCCAGGTTGGACAGGGCTTGGAGCAACCTGGGCTAGTGGAAGGTGTCCCTGCCCATGGTACGGGGTGGAATGGGATGGTCTTTAAGCTCCCTTCCAACTCAGACCATCCTGGGATTAGAGTCAGCCCTACAACTGGTGCCTGAGCTGCCCAGCCTGCTCAGGTGGAATAAGGGGGGTGTTATCAGTGCAGATATCCTGGCTGTACATCTGTGCCTCCCTCCTGCCCGGGAGCTCCAGCTGGGAGCTCTTGCTGGACAGAGGAAGCTCTGTGTGCCCGTGGTCATTTTCCGCGTGAAACGCCTGTCTTGGGTTGGTGGTTTTTGGTGAGCCTGTCAGTGTGTTGTCACGCTGCAAACCCCAGCAACGCCAGCCTGGCACTGTGTGCAGGGAACTTCATTCCTCTCCAGCCAGGGCCAGGTGAGTCACTGCTGGGAGAAACCGGGGCCACACCTGGCTGGGAAGTGTCAGCACGTGTGCGGGTCACGCCGCGCTGGGCACAGAGCTCCTGCTGCGGGGGCTTGTGGCACGGCAGCGGTGACAGGGGCAGTAAAGGAGAAGCAAAACCTCGGGATACACCACGCCCCTCTCCTCCTGGGGTCTGGAGGGTGAGCACAGCCTGGCCACGGGAGCAGCCCCTGGCTGGGGACTGCGCTGGGGCAGCAGCTCAGCCTCGGGTGCTGCAGCCGCATTTCCAGGCTCCTGCTGGGAGGGTGTTGGGCTGGAGCAAGGATTTTTCCCGGGAATGTGGCCTGCGCTTCAGCTTGAAAGGGTTAAGCTGAGGTTGGTGTTTATGTAACCAAAGAGGGAACTCCCAGAGATGAGTCCTTGGCTATCTCATGTGGTGATGCATCAGAAGGGCTTGAAGAAAGCCCAGCTTGTTGCTTGCGCTGAAATTACGTACTGGAACCCTGTGCTTCAGAGTTTCCCCGGCTGCCTGCGGGGGGCCGGGCTGGAATGTGCTTTCCCTGATGTGTGACTTGGACTGTGGAAGCCTTTTTTGTCCCTGAGGAGCTGGAGACTGGCCACAGCTGGCTGTGGGTGGAGGTAAGGTGTGCTGGGCTCCTGTACTCCCAGGTGCTGGCTGTGCCTTGCTCACGTGCCCGGGACTCAGCTGATGGGCAGGTTGGCTGAGGAAGGAGTCTTTCTGGTGGGGGGGTTCAGCGGGGGCTGCCAGGGCTGTTCCTGTCTCCCAGCTCACAAAGCTCAGCCTGTCCTTGCTTTCCCGGGTGCCTTCCAGCGGCACAGGGGTGCCCCAGCCCCTCGTGCTGCCCAGTGCCCTGGCATTTTTCCTTCTCTGGTCAGACAGATTCTGTGCCTGGTTTCGAGCGAACTTCTCGCTCAGGGAAGAAGTTGAATGAGTGTCCGTGCAGTTCCAAGAACCCTGTGAGTCAGGGCTCCGTTTCGGGAGCAGGCTTCCCTTCCCGGAAGGGCAGCGCAGCGGAACACGGGCTGCACTGACTCATACAATGGGCTTTTTTTATAGGGAGAGAGATATATATACACACACATATGTTTATTTCTCTCAGAGAACGGTTCAGCTTCCAGAGCCCCCAGTAATGGTAACATTCCTGCACAGGGAATCTCCCCTGGTGCTGTGCAGAGGGAGGGGAGCAGAGCCCACCCCGGCCCCTGTGGGATAATGAGCCAGGGAAGGGCCTGGAAGTTCCCCTGTGCATTCCACGTTGTCTCTGGGGATGGAAGGCTGAGCTGGCCATGGGAGGAGGGACAGTGCAGACAGGATGGGTCTGGTTTGGCACTGAAGAACAAAACAAAGTCCTATGACTGAAACTTTGAAGGATGCTATAGCCAAAAAGTAACTTTTGCCTGATTAAGGGTCATTTTTATATTAAAAAGCACACCCTGCATATGCTAATCAGCTTAATGAAGTACATGCTACCACATATGACTCTCTTACTCAACTCCCCACGTAGATCATGCTGTATGTGGCATTGCAGGAGGAGGAGAAGGTTGGGCTGTGTATGAGGGGGCCAGAAATTTCCCCTGGTGAGGAGGAAGAGCCAAAAGCCCTTGGAGACAGTCGGTGGGAGACTTCCTCTCCCTGCTCCCAGGGTGGGATGATCCTGGTCTCCAAGGACCAGCTGGGACACAAGGGGTGTAGTTTTGGCCAAATTTCATACACTTAATGCAACAGCCTGCTTTCCTTGGGATCTGCCCTGCAAACATTCCCTGCAATACCCCAGCCAGCGACTCCTCCGCGGGCCTGCCTGCTCCAAGCTCCGCCTGCTCCCAGGGAAGCCTTTCCAATGGGAGCCCCGGCTCTGTCCCTGGGAGCGCTGATGACTCGGCTCTGAGCTGTCCCTGGCCAGGTTGGCCCGGGAAGGAGTGAGGCAACACTGGGACCTGCCTTCCCATGCAGGAAGCTCCGTTGAATGTTGTGTTCATGGAGGGTTTTGGTCATGTCCAACACGGCTTCCCACGAGCTGGGATTTGCCGTGAGCCAGGCTTAAATGTGAATTTGGGTTAATCCTCGCTGATAAGGACTACCCAGTGTGGTATTTGGGTGGGAAAAGGTGCAGCCTGATGTTGCTCATGTGATTCCCTGCGAAGGCTGCACAGAGAGGGAACAGAGTGTGACAGAACCCTCTGGGCCAGGTCTCCAGCTTCATCCCAAATGCATAATTGTGGTCAGAATAATCCAGAACCACAGCATCAAGTGCCTCTTGTTTCATGTTACAGAGTCCTCGACCTTTTGCCCATCCAGCCTTCTCCAAGGTGATGACTCCTGTCTCCTGAGACGTTGGAAAACCTAGTTTGGAGGAAGAGTAAGGATACAGTTGATGCTGAACTACGTGAGTCCCTGTTTGCAGTAACTCCATTGCACCAGCGAGCTGTCCAGCCCGGATTGCACAAGGGGTTTATCCCAGAGTTCCTGTGCGGGGGGTTTCTCCAGTGGAAATGTTACTCACATGTTTCCAGCAGAGATGACGATGTACAAGGAGGGGAGGAGTTTGTGAGGCACAGTCAGATGCTGGGCCGGGGATGTGAAGGGAACAAGGAGCCCCTGGGGCTCAGGGCTCTGTGCAGCTCTCTGGGCGTGGTGGCAGTGCTCTGCTGAGGTGTGAGGGCAGTGGGAGTTGGGAGTGCAGGGATGCAAAATCTGCTGCAGGACTCCTCCCCTTATCTCCCTGGCTGTCCCTGCTCCTGGGGACAGGTACTGCTGGATGAATCAATGCAGTGACATCAGCTGTGTCCACGGGAGGGGCAGGGCTGCCAGAGAGGGAACTGCTCTCACATCGAGTCCTTTGTCACTCTCTTGCCTGGTGAAACACTGTGGCTCGTTTAAAACAGATAAGGGCAGCCCAAAAAAC